CTATTTTTGTTTATGGTGTAGGGACAAAGGAGCGGACGGTTCTCCTAATGCTCAACCGACTACCGCAGCCTATGCAACTCCAGAGTCAGAGGTGCGCTGCCTCCTTTTGCCGGGGGGAGGTTCGGGGCTAAGGTAATCTCACTCACTCGATGAAAAGACTTGATTAACACTGGTGTTTTGTGAGATCGTGGTATGGCCTGTTTGTGTTAAAGCACGACTGTCCCATGGATCCAGTTTAAGGTAAAAAAAATTGGAAAAAAAATTTAGTCAACAGAAAAATGTATTCGGTCAGCCAGTGGCTAGTTGGTTAATAAATTACATTCAACAAGCACTAAACTTGCTGACCAAGTCATTAATTTCGCAACTCGACATTTTAGTAACCGCTAACATTTTTTCAGCTTTTTCTATTTATTACCTTGTAGAGGTGTAGCCATGATAGCCAGCTAAAACCACAGTGTTCTGTTCTAAGTGGGTCATATGTGAGGATCTTAGGAATAACCTAAGTAGGAAATCGCTGAAAAACTTTTAAAAACACAACCTTGACCTCCATCTTGCGTGTTTTTTAGTTTTACTAAATCTATTTTCCTTGTTCACACAGAAAACCAAAAATCTGGTCAGAACAATTAATTATAATATAAGATATTAAAACCAATAACGTATGATGGTTTTCGAACAAACAATTTACAATTCTATGAACGATACACACATGAAACCGTATAATAGTACACTTATCGGAATAACACAGACATATAGACCTGAATAGGTATTTTATTTGCCGTGTGTACCTACTTTTAATGTGTACTTGGGTAGGAATTTTCCTCATAAAGGTGACTTTAAAGGTGACATAAGGGTGACCCTAAGGCATTTGCCTTAGGGTCACCTCTCACCTTAGGGTTACATAATTTACATTAATGTACGACTAATAAAACAAGTAAAAGTATATTCATTTATTTATTTTTAATTCAATATCAGTGTCTGACTATTATTAGGAATGCGGTGTACACAGTAATTATATTAAAATATATGCATTTTGAAGCTTTTTTCATTTTACAGCGGGCAAGTGATATGTAGGATTTACAGGCTGGCCGATTATTAACATATAACTGCCAATAATTAGATGTCATTTGTGATATAAAAACACAGCAATCGTAAGATCGAAAATCGAGTAGCTATTATTAAATTACAATATAGTCGTGCAAACGCTTTGCACAAGCTGGATTTAAGTGAGATTTTGAAAAAAAAAACGTTCAAAATTCAGTTCCGATGTACTCTCGATCTCACAAATGTCATTAAAGGTATTTTCGTAGTAAAGTATTACTAAGACTAGCAGAATACCGATTCACCTTTCGGTCACAATACTATATAATCACCTTACAATCAACGTTGGTTGTTTAACACTTTACTACGAGAATACCGATTGTGACTTTTGTGAGATCGAGAATAGATCGAAACTGAATTTTGAATGATTTTTTATTAAGAGAATTGGCTTTCTGAACATTAATAAAAAAAATATACTAACTGATCATTGATTGTATTTTCTTGTCATGGTCTTTAACAGAAATTATTATTATTCAAAATAATATTGTATTAAGGACGGTAGAAAAGACAAGTTGTAGACTTAATATATTATATCATACGTCTTCTACAAACTACGCAGGACAACAGCACTGAAAAGAGAAGAAAAACTTCAAAAAAATCCCTATACCAACCCGTCTGGTCAGCGTGGTATAGTAGGCCAAAACCTCCATTCTAAGGAGAGGCCTATGGACTATTAAAGGCTGTTGATGATACGTCTTCTGAATTGACAAACATTTGAAATACATCTCAAGTATTCCGTTAATTAACACGTAATTCACAAATAAAATCACAGATACAACAAAAAAAAAGGTTATTACTTTTTCTTTTAAAACAAAACCAGCCAAAAACTTAAAAATCGAACAAATCAAAAATGCAATTAACATGTCAAAATAATAAAATTATAAGTGTTTCATCAAAACACATTGTATTAGGGAACGTACCCATATTACGAGACCCGTTCAAAGGGGGTTTCAAAATACCACGCTTGATTACAGGGGCGGAGGGGGTGCTTAGGTTTTCGTCACTTAGTCAACATCTTCTGGGGAAATCTCGAGCTATATTCAAATGTTTAGCGCTTTTTAACTTACAGATGATTCATATTTATTTTTTAAAGGCAAATACTTGTTAATAATCGGGGTCAGCATTTATACCACGGGAGGTCACCCACCCAGGGAGATAAAAATTGTAAAAAATGAGTTACGAAGGATGGTTACGTTCCCTTACATAAAATACACGTGTCGAAATGCACGTGTTCACGTGGCCGGTGCTTTTATTCGTGAAAAAAGGCACGTGTCTATTAAAATGAATCCTATTAGAATAGTGCAGAGTTAGCGGTAGTTTTAATGTATTTATTTCATCACCAGACGAAGTTTTCAGAGGCTTCTAAATCACTTTTGAGGTATTTTATAATGTCATAGGATAACGTGCAATATTTTTCTAGTAAATATGTATAACATATTAACATGTATGAAAAATCCTAGGCATAAAAGTAAGAAATTTGAATAAAAATAGTAATTGTGGCTTAGAGAAAAAATTAGACACCTCTTGGGATTTTTTATATAACTACGTAAATTATTACCGTTTTTTCTTATAAAGAACGGAGTGCTATATCCATGGTGTTAATTGTAATATTTATACGAATTGAATTAGTTGAATTAAATTAAAATAATTGTACGTTCCAAGTTTGTATGAAACTTGAAATTGTATTGTGGAAATATTTTACAACAACTTACAAAAAACTGTTTATGGTGAAAATTGTAATACAAATGTTTTATAATTGCTCTATTAGAATAAATGTGATAAAATTATGGGTTAAACCTGAATTTGATGGATTAACAATAATCCTTGAAAAAAAACACTATGATATTTACTGTTATAAACCTATCTTCAAATATTTTTTTACTTATATTTTCTAGGTAACAAAGCACTGCTTAATATAATTATGTATTGTGGAACCAAACAGCCAGCCTGTAAACTTAAACAATATGAATTATTTATTAAAGAAATATTTACATTAATAATTGGCACCGAGATAATAAATATCTAAACAATTATAGACATACAGAATTATTATTCTGATTTATATTACTTTAACTTACATAATAATGAATTGGCGAAAGAAATTTGACAAGACATTCACAAAATCACAGGAGTTTTATCAATTCCAATGAAGCAATTTTTATATTAATTGAAATATATTTGTTTCAACATTTTGAAATGAAATACGCAAAATCAGTCGTGCTAGACAATTTTTTTTTTCTAGTTTTCTATTGTTTCAGAACAATTTGTACTACATATACAAACATCAGTAATTATTATGACTAATATTAAGTTACTACGTTGCGCTATATTTTGAACGGAAAAGCATATCGTAAAATTCTGATTTAGTAAGCTCAAGATCGTATATTTTTTTATAAAATTTAATAATATTATTATAGAGGTTATAAAAATGTTTATAATTAGTGCAATATAGGATATGTTTTTGATTCTCCAGCGTACAATCGTGCATGATGCGATCTGCTCTAAAAGATTATATTTAGTCTTTTATCAGCCGAAGTTCATTTTGATGATAGCGCGTTCTTTAAGCAAACTTAACGAACACAGTTCAATGGCATTCAGATAGTGCTAAGCGTAGTGTCGTGCAGTACGGTCTTCATGCGTCACGATAATTTTGAGACTGCGATGTGTATGATCAGAATAACTGAATTTGTCTAAAAATATTAAAAAGAATAAAAAATATTGACTTCATTCTATTAATCCAAAATTGTTCGGTTTTCTGTGTAATGTTTTAACAATAAATTATACAGTGAGCCATAAGGAAGTAAGTTGACGCCGATCTATTTTTCATCGTGGAAAATTTACTCCTACAAGGAGTTTAGATGTTCAACTTTGTAGTTATTTTTACTATGATAAGTATTCGATAAATAATTGAATGAATGTCTTATCAAGCTCATACATTATTATGTCAATAAACATACTTTTATTAATATTCGAATCTGAGTTGAAATAAACTTGATTTGGGTTATATTTTGTCAAACTTTGAGTAGGAGCTTATTTTTGCAAGCGATTGACAACTTGTACTGATGAAATTACAACCGAAATAATTTTCAGAAATTAATTAGAATAGTTTTTTTTTCTTTTGCCGCCAAAACAATAGAAAACTCGAAAGAACCTTAGACTAGTTATGTTGCACAATATCTCAAAATTAGTACATATAAGAAATATTTATTTACAATAGTTTGAGTATCAAGAATAATAAGATCTGCCATCGTAAAGCTGATAGGTTACAACCCATTTCAAAAGGTACTTCGATACTACAATATGTGTTATCTAATGTGTGATGAATTTTTTGTGTTCATGCAATTCACGAATCCGTCGAAATTGTATGAGTTACTCTAGACTTTCTGACACTTTGTGTTCAGTAACTTTACAAAGATCGCTTGAGTTTACATAACCAGTATTTACTGCACAAAACATTTTTTTTATGCTCGCAACACCATACATATTAATACCATATATTTTCATCCTCAACATTTTGTTAAACACGTTTAAAAATAGAATGACGAATTCAATGTTTTTGCTAAATACAATTTGTTAGTTTATACAACTACGTTGGTAAACGTTTCAGTAAATTAGTACAACGTGAAATAAATGTATGCACCTTTCAACAAAATACAAAATGGGTTATATTAACAAGATTCGCTTTCGCTTATAAAGTACAAATTAATAACGGTTGGTAACACTGAAAACAAATGGTGTGTTTGTTCCAATTTTAAACATTTAATTCACTCTTGTACGCTCACGAACATAGACGTGTCTTGTACTTGTACACAGGTTTCGCTACATACAAAATCTACGTATATTTATGAACGGCATGAACTATCTATACGTTGTCATGTACAACTCTTAATTAAAGGAACTTTTTAGGCGTAACTTTGCGCATGTTCTAGTGGAATATTCGAGAACTTATTGCCCTTTTCCACCCAGTTCTTTAGTCTTCCCCTTAACTCTTCTAGACTTTTTGACTTCGCTTTGTTTATCCTTTTGTATTTAACATCCTTAGGTTTGGTCACATTTCTATGGTTGGACATTACCCTGTTGTAGGTGACGACCTGGGTCGATCGAGGTTCAGGGTCTTCCTCACTGTCTGGGTTAGAAGTGACTTCATCATCAGACTCATTCGCGGGAGTCATTCGTTTTGGCACATAACTATAGGACCACACTTCCTTACCACTTTTAGATTTGAGCTCTTTATCGCTATCTATACTCTTGACTTCCGCTGTGAGTACAACACTCCTCATTCTAAAATTGTCTCGCCGTTGGGCAAGGAGACTTGTTTCTTTGTACTTCTCCTCATCAGTTTTATTAGCATCTTTAAGTTCCTTCTCTGTACTGCTTTGGGCACTCAAAGCCTTAGTTGAATCTCCGTCTACTTCTTCTTCGACGCTGTATACAGTCTCAAGGATTTCTGGCCGTCGCAGAAACCCGTTTGACCGCCTAATAATGCTGTACTTCAGATTCGGGTCGATAGCATCTGATATCGACCTGACGATAGTGACGCTATCAGGGTTAGTGGACCTAAATCTTGGCACAGGCGTGTTACTGCTATCGAAATCTACATCCTCCATGATGACAGCTGAATCTGAATCATTAAGGGAATCAAAATCTCCTGTAATATGAGTATCTTGAAGCATATCTCTGAAATCTGGTATATTCTGAGTTATCTCTATTCCATTATCAAGTAATTTGGATTGAAGAGATTCAATAACTTTCTGTTGTTTCATAATGATAGTTTCTCTTAGAGCAAGCATGCTGTTTATTTCTTTTTGTTTGCGAACCAGGCGTGACTCGAAGAGAAGGAGTTGGCTGGAAAGGGATTTTAGCTGTTCAGCCTTTTCTTTCTGCAGTCGTGTCACTAATTCCTCTTGGGTTCGCTGCGCACGGCGCCATGTTAGAAGTTGATGTGCTTGTGCACGATACTTCATCCGAAGATCTCTAAAACAGAAAAAAAACATTACATTAATTAGTATTCATGATTAGAATTAAATTATATAAAAGGGGTTAACACAAGGAGTTAACTACAAATTGAATAAAAAAATAATTATCGATAAGTCGCCTTAAAATGTAATGCTATTTTAGGGTAGGGAAAAGACTTTATAAGATCATGTATGTAAACTTTAATACAAGCTTTGAACAAACTTTAGCACCAGTACTCAACTGATGATAACAGCAAAGGATAAATCGCAAAGAAATGTCATAATAATAGGTCAGACGGTCAGAAAATTATAATACCTACATACAAATGCTGTTTTATGGTCATCATCATCATCAACAGCCTTAAATAGTCCACTGCTGGACATAGGCCTCTCTTTGGAATAGAGGTTTTATGATATTGATAAATAAACAAGCAAATGCTCCACTCCCCGTTGTATTTTTTATTTTTGTCTAATGTCTCCCACAATTAGAGTCATACAGAGTGTAATAGGTCTTTGAAAAGTGATGTGAGATTCGAAATTTTTAGACTACCGGCAGAACATAACATATTTTTAGGCAGCCAGCTGAACATTTCGTATTTTTTGTGAGAATTTTCTCGTACTAGAAAGAATGTATTTAGTCACGAAAATAGATGTAATAAAATCTAAAAAATTTCGTCGTTATGTTTAATTATAAAAATACATTCTGTTTTCAAAGAGAATCTGGATATATTAATATTTCGGACATTTGACACACAATGCCCTCTACTTTCAAACTAAGTAGAGCTTGTACTATGAAAGTAAGATTGACTGATAGAATACTTATATACTTTTTTGTATTTAATTAGGATTTTGGTTTTTTATATATTATATTTACGTTATATTATACATAAAAAAGAACACCGAATATTTGCAAATTATACAAACATTTGGGTCAAACCAAATGTTGGTATAATTTGCTAATATTTGTAAGTAAATACAGATTACATATAGAAAACACCCAAACTCTGAAACAAATATTTGGAATCATACAAAAATTTGATCCGACCCGGGAATCGAACCCGAGACCTCAGCACAGCAGTCGCATACGCTTCCACTGCAGCACCGCCTACGTGTTAGTATGTGCCAGTTGTTGGTTCAGCAAGCCAAGAAAGAGCGATGAATATTCTCTTCAATTATAAGTTATGGACGGATTTAGCCATGTAGTACTTAATTGAACAATCAATTAGTTATCTTACCTGATACTCCTCCTGGCTTCATCCAAGGTGTGCGCCTCAAGAGGGTCGGTAAGGGATGTCGCTAGCGATACGTCAGGCTCCGTTGGGCTGTTCAGAGCCGACTCGCTACGGCTGTGGACAAAATGTTTATGAATTTTCACATTTAAAAAAAAGAAATGAAGGCTGTAGGACTTATAATTCATTATTTTAGCAGAATAGTTATTTTTTAATTTAAAAGCTGGTTATCTGATTTTTTAAAGTGACAAGCTAAGTTGGCAGTTCTAAAAGCCCATACATTCCATTACAATATTTCGATGTACGTAACTGTCACCGCCAAAGAGCTTATAAATACGATTGGTAGAGGGAGAAAGAAGATTATTTTGGTCTTACATCTCTCTCTGCTCTTGTCATTGATAGACTATTTTACATGCCCTCTTCGGTATCAGCCAATCAATGCAGAGAGGAGAGGGAGATGCAAGACCAAAACAATATTCTTTCTCTGTACTACGTACGCCACTACTCACAGAGGAATAGTTCGCTCCCTCTGTTATATAATCCCTATGGTCATCGCAGCGTGCGAGCGCAGCGCAGCGTATGTTTCCATTATTTCGTAATTAAAATAAAACAAAGGTTCAATAGAACCTTTGTTTTATTCTAATTCAATCAACTTATTAATCTTATCTTATCTTATATATCTTACTTATCAATCAACTTATTGTGCTAGGCAATCGCCTAGCACAATAAGTTGATTGATAAGTTAAAGATAAATTACAAATGATCGTAGTTAAAGCACAATCATTTGTATTGAATAGAAATTGAACTCATGCACTCTGGCTTAAGACACAATATCGCTAACGACTTGACGACTTGACCAACAGGCAAGTTTACATTCATCACGTTGTACATAACAAGGTTTTAAAACTATATGTATGTTGATATTGTAGAACATAGTACAAACTAATTTAAATTTAGGTCTATAATGCGTGGTGTAGTGTGTTGTAAAACATTATTACAAGTGCTATTAGGGAATGCCTACAGTGTTAAAACTGATTATGTAAATTATATGTTTATTATTAATATCAATCAACGTATTATCAGCACGTTTAATGTAATCTATAGGTAACGAACACCCTACGTAGCACACACTTCAAAAACTGTAGAATTCTCTCGTACTCCCACCAGAGCATTTCGCAGCACATATTGGGTTACGTTTTAATTAGATCGCAGTCTTGCCACAAGGCTTTGCAGATTGCCAGCGAAGGCTGACAGTAATGAATGAATGAAATAACATGCAAGGAAATTCAGTTTATAAAAGACATGCCGTATGAGATTTAATTAAATTCGAATTAATTTAAGAATTTTAATTCTCGTTTCTTTTAATTCTACGATGTGTATCACTTCTGACGTTATTGAAATTTTGTGCAGCACTGACTAAATGGTCTAATTCATTTAGTCACTTCTGCACATCATTCATCCCGTGGGTGTCGTAAGAGCCGACTAAAGGATAAAATTCTGAAGGGAAATAGCACTGCAGAGAGAAGAAAAACTTGAAACAAACCCTGTACAACCCCGTCCAGCCAGCGTCGGCCAGCGTGGTATAGTAGAACAAACCTCCTTTCTAAGGAGAGGCCTATGTCCAGCAGTGGACTATTAAAGGCTGTTCATGTGATATGATTATCGACACGTCCCATATGTCAACAAGCTTAGTACTTTATTTTCTTTTTTTACTTTATTATTATTTAAGGTCAGATACTTAGTGCTCATCATTGCATACATTAAGATCATTACTGAATCGATTCTACATTTAAGATGACCTTGTAAAGAGGTAATATATTATTTGTATACGACAGATATAATTAGACGCTAGTACAAATATGACAATTGATTTATTGAAGCTGTCCCTATTGAAGCTGTTAATAGAAACATAATTATTATTATTTTCTAAACAAACAAAGTATAGATTCTGAATTGGGTGCTAGAAAACCAAAGACATTGTGAGCTTTTGGACAGTCTTTTTATAAATGTTTGAAAGATTTTACACAATAACTGTCTAATTTCGAATTTCTCCTTTTTCCTCTATATTAAATAATACCTTACAATCCGTTCACACGGTATCATGTCCAGCCTCGTCAGTTGTTTGACTCGGCCTTTAAACATCAATGTAAGTAGGTAAAAAAGGGGAAGTAGGTAACAGTGAATCACTGGTTATTCCAACTCATACCCAAGGTGCAAATCACAGTAATACATTGTGACCCCACGACTTTTCAAAAAAAAAGCTATAGATTATAACAGACGTTTTTACAATAATTATAAGAATAACCAACCCTTGGTTACGAGTATTCTTATAATTATTGTAGAACAAATGGCAACTAAATGTTTAAAACTGTTACTTATTCAAGCAAAAACATTTTCATCATAGCCTGTTCAATAGAATGTTACATTACGCCCTTAAGTTCTAATAAGTTAGCAACGATTGGTTTCGAGGAAAGAGGTTATACTCGTCAGTTACTAAACGTTTGCAACTCACATACGCATAATAAATTCGTAGGTATTCCATCAGGCGACACGTAAAAAATAATAATAAAATAAAAGCTGTACCCTGTGACTGTACTCATTCTCCTCTAAATGTTGCAGAATAAATAAAGCTTTTACACTGAGCCCTTAACTCAGACTTACCCTCCCTGTCAATACAGTTTCACCTTAAAAGTTTCTAAAAGTTTTCAAGTTTGTAAGTACAACATTCATTATTCTGTGAGGTTCAAACGAAACATTAGTGGGTCTGGCGTGTCTATAGGGTTGTCAATTGTTATTGACAACTCTATATTTGTATATATATCGATTTTTTTGCGATATACCATAACTTAACTATGTTCTCACCAATATATTACATATTTTTTCTTTATATTTTAACTAATTAACATGAAAATGAAAGAACTTATTATATTTCTAAAGCAGTTATAAAATTACAAAAGTAGATACTACAATTATTATTTTTTATTTTAAAAAGACAACTGCACTAGGAATAAACCCTGTGTCGCGGGGGCTTTACAAACATACATGAAACGGAGACAATGAACACCCAGACTCAGAACAACAATTTGTGGATCACACAAAGTGTCGTCCCTAATGGGGATCGGACCCACAGAACTTAGCTTAGTAGTAAGCGGCGTGGTGACCGCTTAAACCACTTCGATATCCGTGCAGTCAATCATGAGTCATATTATTTGCATTGTAATTTTTTTAATGTTGTTCTGTAATTTTAATATAGCATTTGGCCCAATTTCTTAAAGATTTATTAAAGCAAAACTAATCTAATTGTGTCATTGATTAGAAATCAGATCTGTTAAGATATCTAACAAATTTTAATGTAAAAACTTATGTCAAATTGAATTGATATTTTCTTTCATTACCGTTTCGGAAATTCGAACTGATTTAAAACCATTAGTTTATTTTGTAGGTATACCAATAATCTTAGAAGCGTTTGTAACACCGATAGTGTCATACCTGGTTACCAACGTCCATATACCTTGAAGCTCTGATGTCCCTACTAGCACTAGTATGAACTTGTCGTGACCATCTCCTTTAATAAAGCTTATTTATCAAAAGAAGCAGTAGTAGCAGTTTAAAATCTAAGATTACGTATTTTTGAAATATTCTATATTTTTATGACTCTTTTGAAAGAAACAAATTAAAACTCATAAATGTTGGCAACCCTAACGTCCTTCTGTCATTCGATGTTGCGATGGCTTTGCTCGCGAACTGAGTCTCTATACCTATCTATTTAAAGAACAATGGCAGAAACATATTTACCTAAACCTTAAGCGTTTAAAAAATCGAGTCACAGTAAACTTAATCAATTTTTTTTCTATGATTTATCATTACACCACCATGTGTTGTATAAGTCTTATAAGAGATAAGATATTTTTGAAGATTTTATTTGACCTAAGTACGTAATGTCAGATTCGCCATCACGTATAACTGACTAGGGATGCGTGGTGGCAATATTATATTATGGAACAATTTATCGATAATCGATTCTTATAGCTTTGACTGAAATATTTACCGAAGGTTCACTATTATGATTATGAATTTGCTTCTGCCCACGTCTTCACTCGTACGGTAGAGTGACTGAATCAACATAATTAGAAATGATTTAAAATATTTTTGACTCTCTTTAAACGATTTTAAACACACTAAAGAAATAGAATATAGTTACGTTATTTTCCACTACACAGTGTGATGAGAAAAATACATTGTCATTGATAACGGCACATAAATAGACATACATCGATATTTTCAAATTATCGATACGTCGTCGTTTAGTACATATCTCTTAATCTGTGGTTTAGATCCTGTCAAGTTCCGGACTCACCACGTTTGTTATTTTATTTTTGTTTAATTTAGTGTTAAACTCGAATAGATGTTATGCTTTTTTTTTTTTATTTCATATACTGTAATAATAATGAAAATAATATTTTCGGCTATCTGACACACAACGCCATCTAGTTTCAAACAAAACAATAACAATATGTTAGTACTTAACCTCGAAACATTTAAAATCCAATATCTTTTTTCCTAGACTTCTTTCGCAAGTAATTTTGATATGAGAATGGTCAAGAATAAATTCTCAAGTGTTAAGGATTTTTTGATATTTAAACGCTAACATTTCAGTTCAAATAAAATTATGTATGGGGACCTGCCATTGTCCTTTGTTTTAATGCTTACTGATTTATGCTTCGAAACATATGTTTATGAATTAACAAAGTTTAGTTAGTATTAAATCATTTAAAACTTCCTTTTTAGCGGCCGAAGTGACTAAGCTGAAGGATTTGTATATATTTTTAATTGTACGCATTAAGCTTAGTTTCCGGAGCTAACAAGAATACTGCGTAATTTAAATCTTTTTAAAGTTTTTGCAAGAGAATAAGGATTTTATATTTTAATATTACAATATTATTAGAAGGGCACGAATGCCCTTATATTTAATCATGTGATAACTAATAATAAATAATAGTTTCTTGTTTCTCTCACACAGTACGGCAATACATTAGTCAAAAAAAAACAAAACAAACATTCATTAGACAATTGCAATGGTTCTATGTGTAAGGCTGGTATCTGTACTAGGACAGACCTGTATGAGAGATTACCAGCCTCTCCCAGCACTGGATTAATGCAGTACTAGATGTAAAGTAGGTGTTATTGTTGAGTGAGAGTGTATAACAACTACTACCCAGTGGCAGTGTGTTCGTACATAAATGAAAGAATGTGTGTGCGCGTGTGTTTGTGGGTGAGTGTGTATATGTTTAGGCGTGTGTATGTGTTTGTGTGAATGTATTGTATACGTTGCGTGACTATTGCGTGATAACTGTGTGCAAATAATATGCGAAAGCATTTATATTGCAGATAAACTATCTATAGAGTATAAATATAATAAATATGCTGCTATCGAATAATTAAATAATAATATTGATATTGTTAAAGTGTTTATTTAGAGAAGTGGGTCGCGGCCGCAGAGGCTGACCCGGCATTCGTTTTATTGAAAGCCGAAAATACACGCAGCCGAATTGATCGCATTTGGATATACATGAAGTGACATTTGGATGTGTGTATTCTATTCAAGGGTTGTTTCAGATCACCTCAAAATGTATGATTTTTGAACGATGTGTGTATTTATGTACGTGTGTGTGATTTTTTTTGGCATGCGATAAAAAACAAATACATTGATGCAATGCCAACTAATTCAATTCATCCCGTGGGTGTCATAAGAACCTACTAAGGAAGCAAACTACGCAGAATAACAGCACTGTGAAAAGAAAGAAAACTTGAAACAATCCCTATACCAACCCGTCTGGTCAGCGTGGTATAGTAGGCCAAAACCTCCATTCTGAGGAGAGGCCTATGTCCAGCAGTGGACTTTTAAAGGCTGTTGATGTAATGTGTGATGATGCCAACTAAATATACAAACTACTTATAGAAGTAGCGTTATACGTGACGTGCTTCGGCATAAATTGGTCAGCTCGACCGGAGTGATGCCACGGCCTCACACAAAACCGGTGTTAAGCAGTTCTTTCGTTTTTTTTCACCGAGTGAGTGAGGGTATCGGAGTTCAAATCCCTCTGCCCATGATTCCGGGGGAGGACTCTAAGGACAATGTAATTGTGACTCTTGAGTTATAGTCGTCCGTGGGCGGTGGTAGTTACTTAACATCAGGTGACCCGTCTGCTTGTTTGCCCCCTCATCATCATCTGCCTACCCTTATCATTATTTTATTCGGGGTCGGCGCAGTAAGTATAATTCTTCTATTCTACTCTATCATGCGTCATCTCACTGTTTACTCTTTTCCTACCCATATCCTCACTCACACAGTCCATCCATCTTTTCTTTGGTCTTCTTCTTCTCCTCTTGTAAGTCCCATACCTAACACTTTCTTCGCCAAAGATAACCAATTACTTCATAACTTTTTATCCAATGGCGCTACTTTCAGACTCCCTCGTATATTCTCATTCCTGTCCTTGTCCATCCGAGTCACACCACACCACACCTCATAACCATCCCAGAACCACAGCTTGTTTGACCCCTATATCATAGAAAACTACCTATTTTACCTTCATTATGTAACTAAGGGACCCTATTTCATGTACGGACTCAAGGTCATAAAAAATGGTGATTTGGGATGGAATAAAATCACAATCACCTGTGACCAATTAACAAAATCACTGCGACTTATGATTATGATTTCACTAGCGCCAGACTCGCGAAAGATCTAAATCTAAACAAAGGTCTTTGATAAAAAGAAATTTTTTTTTCGTTTCTTAAGTTTTGATGACATTTATCTTTGTCTATTAACAAATCATAGTAATGATTTATCACAGGAGAAATCGCAGGGACTAAAGCGAATCATTTTAACTCATGATTATGATTTCAAAATAGCAAGAATTACCATCATTAATGGAGATCCTTTAGTATTGCCCTTTATATTTCGTCCTACCCTACGGCATTTGAAAAAAAAACATATTGCCAAACATATTTGAACTAAATTCCGGTGCGACACAACAAAAGGTTGCTGTGAAAATCAATTTATAAAAGTGGATGTCATTTTATTGGACAACTGGAATCATTTATTGGGAAATGAGGGTTGTTTGACACTGGCAATGTTTTCTTCGAAACTGTTTCAGAGAACTTGAACATAAAAATATGCTTTGTTATTTATTTCGACGTATTTTAACGTACGAGTGTAGTTTTTTATA